TTTTTAGTATTATGGCTGCTGGGGTGCAGCATTTGTGACCGTATTTTAAATTTCCTTCTGCACTGTAGAAAATGACAATTTGAGGATGTTTTGCCTTTTGTGTATTTTTTTCCTAAAAAAAGAACAAAAATAAAAATGTGTAACATTTGTACATGGCCTTTAACATTGTATCAACCAGAAATAAAATCGCATGAGTATTTTATCGGGATTGGGATTGTAGAATATCTTCCAAACCCCAAAATCTACACAGAAACCAGCCTGGAACCTCTAGACTTGTTTTGTATTTAAAATATGGGGGATTCTGAATACTTTCCCCCCCCTTTTCTCTCTCTGTCTCTTTTCTATTCCTCCTCTTTCCATCCTTCACTTCACATTGAAATGAAATCTGGACACGAGGAACTATTTTTCTTGGCTTCTGTTTTTAAGAAGAGCCTCTGCCGCTCTAAATGTCATTTCTCGTTTTAAAGAAATAATCAAATGTTGAAAGAAAAACTGTACTTTTTTCTTCCCCCAGGGAAAACCATATATATAAAAGTAGAACTACGATACGTTGGCTTTTGTTTTTTTCACCTTCTTTTGCCACCAATGGGAGTTTTACTTCGAGTGTCAGACTTTAATGTTCCCGTAGTCAGGCTGTTATAAATTGTGAGGCAACTTTAAGGCTTTTCGTAGGGCTTTTGTTGTTGTTTTTGTCTTGTTTGGTGTTCTACACTTGGTTTTCCCCAACTGAGAAGTGAGTAAAATTTAAGCCAGAAAAGGGCCATTGCTGGGAGAGCAAGGTGACAAACATTTCCATTCGCGAACATTCCCCCTCGAGTCACTGGGGGGTGGGGAACACTGTTTAAAAACCTGTGTCTCCAGCCGACCACCCTCTTTCCACTGCCGTCCCTGCCCACCTAAGAAAACAAACACAATAAAGTCCCATTGTCGGGCGGCCATGCCAGGACCCACCGCAGTTTCTGCGCGTCGTGGGGTCGCGAGCCTCTGAACCTGGTTCTTCTCAAATTTGACATTTTGGACGTGAGGGTAATTTCTCCAGTGCTCGGTTACATCAAAATTATCAAACTCGCCCAGGCAATTAATGTCCCAAACGAACCGCTGTCTATAAAATGAGATAAAGGGTACAGGAAAAGGCCGGCGACTTCACCCTGGGGCTCTGGTGGGCCGAAGCGTCGGGGGCCGGGGGTCTCCCCGGCGGCACAGCCCTCTGTCTCCAACACGCGCCTGGCCCTGCGCTGCGGGAGTGGGTGCCCGGCGAGCAGAGAAGGCACGGTCCTCCTGGGCTGGAGGCCACTGGGGCAGCCACCGGTGCCCGAGAAAACGAGGCCGGGCCGGAGAAAATCCCCCGGGCCTCCAGCGCAGGAATGTTGGGCTGCGTTCACATCCAGGCAACTTCCGCAGGCGAGAGCGGGTCTCGTCCTCCCTCCTGCGCTGCTCGGCGGAGACTGCGCCCCAATTAGGACCGAGGCTCCGGGAAGCGGGGCTGATTAGGAGAAACCCAATGCCTGCCCAGCCAGGGAGCTCCCGAGTCTCCGGCCGTGGCTCCAGCCTCCGCACCCACTCATTTGGTCCCTTGGTGCGCCAGAGACCTCGTGCGCGCCGGCTGTGCTTGGCTTTGGCGCCTCTGGGCCAGAGGCCGGGGCGGAGGTGAGCCCCGCTTCCTGCTCACCTCCCCGAGGACACCTGTGTCTCTACAGGCCCTCCCAGCGCTCCCACACCCCAGGCTGGCTGCGGGGGTGGCACGTAGAGGGGACTGTGCAGGAAAACCGGCCAGGGAGCCCCAGGATGGGGCCTGGCCTCTGTCTCCCAGTCTGAGCAGGGGCCTGGGGGTGAGAGAAAAGCCTTCCCAGCGAGGAGAGCCTGGCCCAGAAAGGGCCTGAACACTGCAGCAAAACTGTCTCCAGACCCATGTTCGAGACTGCACACCGCCCTGCTGCTACAGGTGACTCACAGAACGGGCTTGCTTGGCATGTGCCCCCCCGCCCCCGCAGGGCCCATTTCAGCCCCGATGTGCACAGGGGCCACGGAGCTCCCACGTGCACCCCCACAAAAGCGTGCGTACGCAGGTTACAATCTTAAACTGCAAAAGCGTTTCCGAGCCTGGTGTCAAACCACCCCCGCTGTGCATGTAAACAGCCTCCTGGGTAGAATTAATCCAGACGCCCCTGAGCATACCTCAGGGGGGTGGTCCTGGACCCTAAGTGCATGAATTCCCCCCAATATCAAAACACCTGGATGTGGGGAGGGGCCAGGGATTACGCCATAATGTTTCTGTCTATGGGTCACACATCGCAGGGACTCCAGGGTTCTGCTGGGGGGGGGGGGGGGCTGGAGTCCTGGGTGCGCCCAACAGCCTCCTGGCGGCCTGGTCCCAGGCAGCAGGAAACTGCAGGCCCAGCCGGGCAGGCGTCACCCCATCCCTGGAGCTCGCCTCTGATCCACATCTGCCCCCCCCGCCCCCCGCCCCCGGCCTGAAGGCGCTCAGGTATGCGCTTCTGATGGGGGAAGGTGCCTGGCCCACCAAAGCCCATCTGTCCCAGTTTTCTCTTCCCTTTGGGGCTGGACAGCTGGGGACAAGGAGGGGGTGGTCCACAAGGGCCTGGCTCCCCAGGCTTCCAGGCTCCCAGCAGCCATCAGGCATCCCAGAGGGAGCGGACAGAGAGAGCTAGAGTCCCTGTTCTGTCACCATCTAACCCGGGCAAGGTGCATCGCCTCTGAGCCTCAGTTTCCTTATCTGTCCTCATGACCCATGAAGGGCAGTGGTTGATGAGATGATGGTCTTCGGGAGCAAACGGAATGACCTCGCTCTGTGGTGCCCAGACGGGAGTGACCACGAGACCCACGCGTGGCTCGCCCTGCTTCCTAGAGATCCAGGGGGGCAGGTGGGGTGGGTGCCACTCAAGATGCAAGGGCCCTCTGCTCAGGGGTTCCCATCGAGCACTCCGTTCGGGAACTGCTGAGCTCCCCATCTTCTAGCATGCGCCCCAGGACGGACTGTCCACCCTTCCCACGGAGGACCTCCTAACCTCCAGGCCAAAAGACCCCTGAGCCCTGCGACCGCATTTCTGATGGTGACTCTGAGTGTGGAACCGCCCTCATGAGAAACACTTGGGGTATCTGCTGAAACCACAGATCGGTGGGTCGGCGGGAGGCGGGCTGACACCCACTCGATTTGACTCTCTGGAGGCAGGACCCAGGATTTTCACAGATTTCCAGGGGGTCCTGGCGAGTGCCGAGTCTGAGAGTCTCCTCTAGTGTCTCTGGGCTCCTGAGAAAAGCCTCGGTGAGGTCGGCTCAGAGTGGCCTCTGCTGCCCCCTCCTGCCCCGCGAAGGCAGCGGCTCTGAGCGCCAGCAGCGGTGAGGGCCGAGGGCCCACGGAGGGAAGGGGAGCCCGGGCAAGCAACCCCCTTCCCACACGCGCCTGGTCCTTCTTGGGGTTCCCTTAGGGAGGTCCTAGGACGACTCCTGCCTTGCACAGCAGAAACCGGTCAGGGGGCTTGCTCCAGACCCTGCTGACAACAGC